GGTGAGCGGCGGGCGGGGGCGCGGGGGCGCGGCTCGGCGCGGGGAGCCCCCGGCTGTGAGCTGAAGCGGAGCCGTGATAAAAGTGGAGTTTAGGGGTCGTGGCGCAGGCCGGGCTCAGACTGGCACCGAGCGGGTCAAGGTCCCGCCCGGGGCTCGGTTGGGGCTCGCTCGGGCCGGCACTGCGCTCGGGAGGTCGGGGGCGCCCGGGCTGTGGTTGGGGCGAGGCTGGCAGATCTCGGGCGGGGCCGAGAACTCACTCTGGGCGACCTCACGCGGATCCTCGGAGGGCGCACCGGGCCTGGAGTGCCTGGAGCACGGGGGGGTCCTCGCTTACGGCCTCCGAGACCCGCTGATGAGGCTGAAGGAGAAGCAGTGGCTTTGGATTGGGGCGAGGGAATTTAAGTTTTGAGGCCCCAGTAGTTCTGAGGGGCCAAGCTCCCCTTGGCCCTCCCAGACACCAGCCCCCGACAGCGATTCATTCCTCGGAGAGTCCAGGAACCACGCTTGCCCGCTAGTCCGGAAAATAGCAGCCTGAAAGGCCGCCTGGAGGACAGGGCGCGCGCACCAGGCACAGGGATGCAGTCAGACAGTGGAAACTTGACACACACATGCAGCGTGGTGTACTGGGGAGCGCGGGAGTGGGGCTCCTGCCCCTCAAGGCCTGGGCAGAATGGCTCTGGGCCTGCGCACAGCCTCCCCTTTTCCTTACCCAGTGAACAGTGGGATGAGGGTCCCGGCCTGTGGCTCCTCCTGCAGCGCCAAGCCGGAGGGACCCGAAAAGGAGGAAACCGGGGTCCAGAGCACAATTGGGCCCTGTGGAGTCCCCCAGGGAGAGCAGGTTGGGCCCCGCCCTCTCGCCGGCGCTGGGATTCAGGGCTCAGTGCCACCTGTGTGCCCGCAGACGTGGTGGTGCTGGAAGTGAGCAGCTCCCTCGCCCAGCCCTCCCTGTTCTACCACTTGGGCGTGCGTGAGAGCTTCAGCATGACCAACAACGTGCTCCTCTGCTCCCAGGCTGAGCTGCCTGACCTGCAGGCCCTGCGGGTAGGTGGCCAGGGACTGGTGGGCGCACAGGGCTGGAGTGGGCTGAAGGGGGCTGGCGGGCTGGAGTTTCTGATGGTCTGTCCCCTGCAGGAGGATGTTTTCCAGAAGAACTCGGTGAGTTGAATCTATCCCTCCCTCCAGTGTGCCCTTCACCGTCCACTGTGACCTCTGACCATCACTCCCATTCCTGGCTTCCCCGGTCACCTCTGACCTCCCCAAAGCCCCTGACATCCTGTGGCCCTCTGTTCCCTGTTGCCTCCCTTCATGCTTCTTTCTATTCCAGTCCCCACTGATGCTGACCTCTGACCCTCGCACCATCCCCTTCTAACCCATTGTTGACCTCTACTGACTCCTGCCCCCTCCCACCAGGACTGCGCTGGCAGCTACACGCTGATCCCCTATGTGGTGACCGCCACCGGTCGGGTGCTGTGTGGTGATGCAGGCCTCCTGAGAGGCCTGGCGGATGGGCTAGTGCAGGCCGGGGTGGGCACCGAGGCCCTGCTCACGCCCCTGGTGGGCCGGCTTGCACGCCTGCTGGAGGCCACACCCACAGATTCTTGGTAATAGGGGACCCCCGCAGAGAGGCTGGTGGGGCGCAGAGGGCTGTGGCTGAGGGCTGGGCCCCACCACTCACTCCCTCCCTTCTCCCGTGGGCCTCAGTGGCTACTTCCGGGAGACCATTCGGCAGAACATCCGGCAGGCGCGAGAGCGTTTCAGCGGGCAGCAGCTGCGGAAGGAGCTGGCTCGTCTGCAGCGGAGGCTGGACAGCGTGGAGCTGCTGAGCCCGGACATCATCATGAACCTGCTGCTCTCCTACCGCGACGTGCAGGTGTGAGGCGTGCACCCCACCGCAGCTCTGAGCAACCCCCCTGCTCCGGACCTCGATGTCCTTGCTTGTGGCAGAGGATGGTGGTGTCACTGTCTCCTAGGATGGGGGGGAGGGGGGCCGGGGCACAGGGTTTCTCCGTGTAAGGGAGGGTGGTGCGGTGGGGTGTTGGGGTGGGAAGGGGGCCCAGGGTCTGGGGAGCAGAGGGGACCCAGGGCCCGCCGCTCCCTTGCGCAGGACTACTCGGCCATCATCGAGCTGGTGGAGACGCTGCAGGCGCTGCCTACCTGCGATGTGGCGGAGCAGCACAACGTCTGCTTCCACTACACCTTTGCCCTCAACCGGTGGGTGACCGCCCCCGGGGAGTGGGGCCCTGCTGTGCCAGGTCCTTGCTCTCCGCCGAGGCTGCCGTGCCGGGGGCTTGCTGGCCACACTGATGGCAGAGGGCCCCGCCGCTATTGCTGCCTCTGGGCCGGCCGCAGCTGTCAGGGTCAGCCACTGTGGCTGGGAAGCACAGCCGTGTGGGTTCGCTGGCTCTAGGACGTCAGGGCTGACTCATGTCCCTGCTATGTGGGGTTCATTGCCATCAGCTCTGGGAAGGGCCTCTACTGTTCCCAACAGCTGGCCAGGGCCCTGCGGCTCCCCGGCCCACACTCCCTCTGCCCTAGGAGGAACCGGCCTGGGGACCGGGAGAAGGCCCTGGCGGTGCTGCTGCCGCTGGTGCAGCTGGAGGGCCCGGTGGCGCCCGACCTCTACTGCATGTGTGGCCGGGTCTACAAGGACATGTTCTTCAGCTCTGGCTTCCAGGATGCCGGGCACCGGGAGCAGGCCTACCACTGGTGAGGGGCACGAGCGCCCTTGGGCAGTGGGCTGAGCTGGTGGGCAGCGAATGGGACGCCGGCCCAGCCCGGGTGCCCCTCACGCCACTCCAGGTACCGCAGAGCCTTTGACGCGGAGCCCAGCCTCCACTCGGGCATCAACGCCGCCGTGCTGCTCCTCGCCGCCGGCCAGCGCTTCGAGGACTCCGAGGAGCTCCGGCTCATAGGTGGGCCCCGCCTGGCACCCCGATCCCGGCGGGGGCTCCATAGCGGTAGCCGGGGAGCTGGGGGAGGCAGCGAGCGAGAGCGAGGCCAGACTAGAGCTGGGCCTGCAGCCTGGCCTATCCCTTTTGGACCCACTTGCTGGCCCCCACCGGGTCCCCACGCTCCTGGCCCAGCGCACGCCGCCGCGATGCCCACACACTTGCTCCCACAGCCTCGCTGTGCCCGAGCTGCTCCTGCCTGAGAGCTCGCCACAGCTGAGGCGTTGCCCCCATCTGTGTTCCTGCCCACACGGAGGTTCTGCCCTGCCGTGGCCACACTCACCGGGACCGCGGCCCCCTCGCAGGCATGAAGCTGGGCTGCCTGCTGGCCCGGAAAGGCTGCGTGGAGAAGATGCAGTACTACTGGGATGTCGGCTTCTACCTGGGGGCGCAGATCCTCGCCAATGACCCTGTCCAGGTGGCTCTGGCTGCCGAGCAGCTGTATAAGCTCAACGCCCCCATATGGTAGGTGGCACTCTGCAGTGTGGCCTGGCCAGGCCCGGCTGCGCCCACACCTGGCACACTGGCACGCTGGCACAGCCCTGGGCCACTGGCGTGACCCCTCCCAGCCCAGTGCCCATGGCCCCAGCGTCATGTGCTGGCCGCCCCCACACCACCCCTACTCGCGAGCTGGACCTGGGCTGAGTTGAGGACAAGGCTGTGCCTGCAGGTACTTGGTGTCAGTGATGGAAACCTTCCTGCTCTATCAGCACTTCAGGCCCACCCCCGAGCCCCCTGAGGGGCCCCCACGCCGTGCCTTCTTCTGGCTCCACTTCTTGCTACAGTCCTGCCAGCCGCTCAAGACGGCCTGTCCCCAAGGGGACCAGTGCCTGGTGAGCCGCATGGCGGTGGGGCACCTGGAAGGTGGCAGGCAGGCCTGTTCTGACCCTTCCTCTCCATGTCCTCTGCAGGTGCTGGTGCTGGAGATGAACAAGGTGCTGCTGCCTGCCAGGCTTGAGGTTCAGGGTCCAGATCTGGTCAGAGCAGTGACTCTGAGCCTGATGGAGCCTGAGGCCCAGGTGAGGGGCTGCTGAGTCCAGCTCACAGCTGTGCGCTCTGTCAGGTCTTTCTAGAGCCCAGAACTCTTCCCCCGGCCCCCCAGCCCCCTCAGACCCTCTTTCTTCCCCCAGGATGTTCCCTCCAGCTGGACCTTACCAATTTCCTCCATCTGTGGAGTCAGGTGAGAAGGTGCCCCGGGGGCGGGGCCCTGCTTGTCTGACGTCATTTAGGTTTTTCCCGCCTCCCCAGTGCCTCCAAGCTGGACGGGCGCTGCTGCTTCCTCTACGCGCTGCCCCCAGCTCAGGACGTCCAGCTGTGCTTCCCCAGCGTGGGTCACTGCCAGTGGTGAGCGCACCCTCCCGCTTGGGGTCCCCCGAGGCTCGCTCCTGGCTTGGGAGGGAGTCTCCAGCCAGGTGCCTGCCCCACCCCTCAGGTTCTGCGGGCTGATTCAGGCCTTGGTGACAAACCCGGATTCCACAGCGCCCGCTGAGGAGGCACAGGGCGTGCGGGAGGTGCTGGAGGTGAGGAGGTGGGGCGGGGCTGAGGAGGGGGAGGGGCAGGGGCGGCCATAACGCCCCTCTCCCCTGCCCCTGCAGTTTGACTACGAGTACACAGAGACGGGCGAAAGGCTGGTGCTGGGCAAGGGCACATACGGCGTGGTGTACGCGGGCCGGGATCGGCACACGCAGGTGCGCATTGCCATCAAGGAGATCCCGGAGCGCGACAGCAGGTGCCCGGCCGGGCGGGGCTGGGGAGCGGGGCCACGGGGAGCGTGGGTACCCCAGAGCCAGCTCAGGCCGAACCTGAGCTGGCAAGCTGGTGGACTTGGGGTGGGGGAGGGGATGTTTTCCAGCCCAGGGAGCCCAGACCTGACCGCTGAACCGCAGGGACCGGTTGGGCAGGAGGTGCCGGTGCAGCCCAGGGGCTTGTGGGCGGGTGATGGTCGCAGAGGGGCTGGGCCTGGGGCCGACCCTGGCGGCGTGGCCGGCTGCTGCGGCACTTGGTGGCCTCTTGGCACAAATCTGACCAAGTCCTCTCCCTGCCCGGCGCCAGGGTCTCTCAACCCCTGCACGAGGAGATCGCACTGCACAAACGCCTGCGTCACAAGAACATCGTGCGCTACCTGGGCTCGGCCAGCCAGGATGGCTACCTCAAGATCTTCATGGAGGAAGTGCCTGGAGGTGCCCGTCCTTGGTGGCAGGGGACTGGCCCAGGGAGGGGTGGCGCACCCTGGGGGCAAATGAAGCCTAGTGCTTGTGTGGGTGGTGTAGCCCAGATTTAGCTGAGACAGTGTGTTGCAGGAACACCCAGGCCGTGGGTGTGCCTGGGCCTTGGCGGGAGATCTGTGGCTGGCACAAGAGGGTGCCATTAATGAAGGCCAACCCCGTCTGCCCAGGTAGTCTGTCCTCCTTGCTGCGGTCAGTGTGGGGCCCCCTGCAGGACAACGAGAGCACCATCAGCTTCTACACCCGCCAGATTCTGCAGGGACTCAGCTACCTGCACGACAACCGCATCGTGCATCGGGACATCAAGGTAAGCCCCGCCTGCCTGCCCGCTGGGGCGAAGGGGAGGAGCCGCAGCCCATGGAGGCTGGCCGTGCAGGCTGCGTGGGCTGACCCTTCGCAAGGCCTGGAGATTCATCAGGAAAGCCCTGGAGTTCAGCCCTTAAGCCAAGCTAGATGCCAGCGCTAAAGGGGTATGATGGATGGCAGGGGAGGAGGCTGCCAGAGGCCCGGTCAGGCTGGGATTCCCGAGGCAGCTGGCACAATGGCCACCCTTCCATGAGCGAGGGGCTGTAGTCCTTGGAGAGGGTCCTGGCCTGAGGTCCCCTGAGCAGTGTCTGCTCTACTCAGGGGGACAACGTGCTGATCAACACCTTCAGTGGGCTGCTCAAGATTTCAGATTTTGGCACCTCCAAGCGACTGGCAGGCATCACCCCCTGCACTGAAACCTTCACAGGTAGTAGGACTTTGGAGGTGGTGAGTGGACCAGCTGACCTCTTGACACCTTCCTGGGGCTGGTGTCCATCCTGTGGAGACAGAGTGCTGGGGGGTGGAACTGAGGGCAGCTGACTGAGCCAGGGGAAGTGACAGACTCTAGAATAGGGGCGCATAGTTGATGAAGTTGAACTTAGTGCCTGAAATGGCGCACAGGGGTGTTGATGTGGGCCAGAGTGATGACAGCAGTATGGTGGGCGGCGACTCCAGGGGTGCGGGTGGTTGAGCACTCTCAGGGTGGATGTTCGATGATGGGCAAATGATAGGATCTTTTTGGGATGATGGACTTCAGGGCAGGTGCAGGTGGCCAGAGGAGGGTGCTCCGCCTCTCCCCCCCCACACACAGTGATAAAGCATGACGGTTACTGCTCCTGTCCTAGGGACCCTCCAGTACATGGCCCCAGAAATCATTGACCAGGGCCCGAGGGGATATGGGAAGGCAGCTGACATCTGGTCCTTGGGCTGCACTGTCATTGAGATGGCCACAGGCCGCCCACCCTTCCATGAGCTTGGGAATCCGCAGGCGGCCATGTTTCAGGTGAGACCCCTTGGGGGCCCGAGGAGCGTGAGGGGCACAGACGGGGCCCTAAGCACTAACCCTCACCCTTCTTTACCTTCCTCGGCCCCTGCCACAGGTGGGCATGTACAAGGTGCATCCTCCAATGCCCAGTTCTCTGTCGGCGGAGGCCCAAGCCTTCCTCCTCCGAACTTTTGAGCCTGACCCCCACCTGCGAGCCAGTGCTCAAGCCCTGTTGGGGGACCCCTTCCTGCAGCCTGGGAAGAGGAGCTGCAGCCCCAGCTCCCCTCGACATGCTCCCAGGCCCTCAGGTACTCCTTGGGAGGAGGGAGTGAGCACGCTGGGTGTGGCGCTGTGGAGGTGAGGACTGGGGCCGGACTGACAGTCCTGTCCCTCCCTCAGATGCCCCTTCAGCCAGCCCCTCGCCTTCAGCTGACCCAGCCACCCAGTCCCACACATTCCCAAGCCCTCAGGCACCCTCTCAGCACCCACCCAGTCCTCCGAAGCGCTGCCTCAGTTATGGGGGCACCAGCCAGCTCCGGTGAGAGCCCAGGGTCCTGGGGTGGGTTTGCCATTTTACTTCCTCCAGAAAAAGCCCTTCCCGAGGGCCTGGGCGCCTGAACCACTTGCGAGGAACGCACCAGGTAGGTGCCCACCGCCCAGATACCGCTTCGCGTCCCGTCTCACCCCTTTCATTGCTGTGAGATGGGCATAAAGTAAAAAAGCCGGATGCAAACCCTGGGCGGCGGTGCTGCCCACTCTCCAGCAGCTGCCTCCCAACTCACCCAGGGTCCCGGAGGAGCCCGGCGCTGAGGAGCCCACGTCTCCCGAGGAGACTTGCGAGCTGAGCCTGCTGCACCAAGAGAGCAAGCGCCGGGCGATGCTGGCCGCGGTGCTGGAGCAGGAGCTGCGCACGCTGGCGGAGAATCTGCGCCTGGAGCAGGAACAGGTGGGCGGCCCGCCCCAGCGCCCCCTGGCGGCCGAGCTCGAGCAGGACTCCTGCTAGTGGCGCCGGACCCCCTCTCCAGCACCCCTCTGGACTCCCGTGGGACACCCGCCCACGGCCCTCTCTTCTCCTCAGGCCCCCTGTTTGAGCCGGAATCATGTGGAACAGCTGCTGCGCTGCCTCGGGGCGCACATCCACACCCCCAACCGCCGGCAGCTGGCCCAGGAGCTGCGAGGGCTGCAAGGGCAACTGCAGACCCAGGGCCTTGGGCCTGAGCTCCTGCAGGCCCCGCTCTTCGCGTTCCCGAACGCGGTGAGGAAGCCTTCTCGCAGTCAGGCTGCCCAGTAAGGGCGCGCGCTCCCTGCTTCCTGCGCCTGGGGGCCTGGGGACGTGGCAGGACTCCAGTCCACGGCTGGAAGGAACATCTCCATCTCCGCAGCCCTAACTTCCCAGCTCCACCCTTGTGCCTGGAGCTGCCCAGCCAGCTTGCCTCTGGGACTTTCTAGGCCTCCCCTACTCTGGCCCCACCTCTATTAGAGGGTAGCGGCCGCCTTCCTTTTCAGGTGAAGCAAATCCTGCGTCGTCGCCAGATCCGCCCACACTGGATGTTTGTGCTGGACTCGCTGCTCAGCCGAGCGGTGCGCGCTGCCCTGGCGGTGCTGGGCCCAGGTAGGCGGCCAGAGCCCACCTGCCGGCAAGGGTGTAACTTTTGGGGGCAATAGAGGGTGTGGTCAGTGGGAGTAGACCTGCCGGGGCAGGAAGGGGCTCGAGGAGGGTGCGACCAGGCCCCGGAGGCCTGCGTCTGGGGGTCCCAGTGGGCCTTCTTGCCCTGCTTGAGTTCACCCCACGCGGATTGGCAGAGGAGAAGGAGGCAGTCCCACTGAGGTCGGAGGAGTCAAGTACAGAACAGGAGCCTCAGTCCATGCAAGAGGAGACCGCGGTCCAGCTGAGCACGCTCCTTGGGGAAACAGAGCAGGGCCCCCCACCGCTGATGGTGCAGCTGGGCCTCTTACGAGCAGAGACCGATAGGTAAAGCCGCTGCGACTTGCCCTTGGCTCCCCATGAGCTTCACTCCTACTCCCAACCCCTCCATTCTGTTTATACCCCAACAGGCTTCGGGGTGTCCTGGCAGAGAAGGAACGGGAGTGCCAGGCCCTGGTGCAGCAAGCTCTGCAGCGGGTGGCCGGGGAGGCCAGGACCTGTGCCCTGGCTTCAGAGCCCCCAGGTGAGCCTGACGTGGCTGGAGATAGTAGCTGTGAGGCAGCTTCTGGCAGGAAGCACCCCTGGATTCACCACCTGACCTCTCCTTGACAGTTGCTCTCAAAGGGGACCAGGACCTGGTGCGGTGGCTACAGGAACTGAATGTGGATCCAGGCACCATCCAGACGGTGAGGGGAGCGTAATGGCCGTGTCTGACCCTCATCAGCCAGAGACCCCGTCTCCGCCTGTCTTTCAGCGTTTCTTACTTCCTCCCACTGAGCAGGGCATCTCAGTTCTGGGAAGAACACTTCGTGTGTCCCTCCCAGTGTACATGAGAGAAAACAGATCCAGAAAGGGGGAGACCTGCTCTGGAATGTTGACAGGACAGAGCTGGCACTTTATCTCTCTGGTTTTTTCCCCTCCCTGTTTCTGCCTATGGCTTTTTGCCCTCAACCAGCTGCTGAATCATAGTTTCACCCTCAATGTCCTACTGACCTGTGCCTCTCGAGACGACCTCATCTACACCCGCATCAGGTATGTCCAGGGACCAGCCAGCAGCCTCATGCCTGCCAGATGGTGCCCTCCAGCCAAGCCCGCGTAGGCACTTCTCTGGAAACTAGGAGACTGGTGCTTGACCAGTGCTCAAGGGGGGCATCAGGCACACCGTGGCTACCAGAGAGGGCCCAGCACCGCCTCCTGGGTAAGCTGTGCTGGCCTGCTCCCTCCAGGGGCGGGATGGTATGCCGCATCTGGAGAGCCATCTTGACACAGCGAGCAGCATCCACACCCGTGACCCCTGGCTCCCAAGAGGCTGCATGAAGGCAACGCAGACTGGCGGATGGAGGACCCACGAGCAGCTCTGACACACCTGCCCCAGGGCAGCTGGGGGAGGCGAGATGGGTGGGGGTAGGGTAGAGCCCAGGCCTGGCCCCAGAGGGGGAAACTGACCATTGAGCTGCCCCAGGCAGACTATTAAAGGGAACATGTTTGTACACTTGGGCCTTGTACTTCTTAGGTCTGGGGTCGCTAGGACTGGCCTGCTAAGAGCTTTAAGAGGACTCTAAAGTCCCTCCACCTGGTCTGCTTTATGCCCCAGCAGGCGTCAGCCCTTGTTGCCCTTAGAATAGACTTTATTGATGTTAGCCAAGGGCAGGCCTGAGATGGGGGTGCAGGGAGGGTTTGGCAGGGCTTGTGGGGCAGCTATGTCCTGGGGACCAGGTTGGTTCTGAGAGGCAGAAGGCCGTCCACCCACTCACATGGCCGCTCCAGGAGTGTCTGCCACAGCTGCTTCTCCTCAGGTGTGGAATCCATCCAGGGCACCTGGAGCCCATAGCTGCTGCCTGGATGTGGGAAGCATAATCACCATGGGTCCCCCAGATTCTGCCCTGTCATCCCCAGTTCTCAGTGGACACCAAAGCTCAGGAAATGGCAGCGCTGTGTCCAAGGCCACACACTGAGCCCCTGCTGCCCAGCCCTGGCACCCCTCCAGGCCCTGCCCCACTCACCGGTGCCCAGGCTGAGGCGTGTGCCCCCCAGCTGGCGGCTGGCCAGGGCCCCATGGTCCCAGAGGGAAAGCTCGGCACAGGCCTGGCGCAGATCAGTGGGCCCGAAGCCATCATAGACCATGGTGTGGTTGAATATGGGGCTGAGGCTGCGTCGCACCACTCTCGTCCTTTGGCGGCTGGCGCGGCTGTCATCAGGGAGCACTGAGCTGGGGGTGGGGGGCTGGCATCAGGAGATCAGCTCTGCACACTTCCCCCCACCGACAGTCACGAGCCCCGCGCACACGCCCTCAGCATGCAGGGTCCTCTGGCTACCTGGGCACCCGCCTCCTCTCCGCCTCCTGCCTTTCAAAGCTCAACTCCTTTCAGGGTAATGTCTGTGACGCGCAGCTCTGCTGTGCCCTACTCTGGCTCCCTCTGCCTTCCTGAAGTAGTTTCCAGCTTAAAGCCTCAGACCCCTCTCTGCAAGGCACAAGACCTGAAAGAAACGCACTGTCTCTGGTTGAATCGGGGTTGGAAACTCAATCTGACTTGCCTACTGCCACATCACTCTGAGGTTGGGGAGCCTACAGCCCCCCACCCCCAGCTTACTTTGAAAACCACTGAACTGCAAGCTCAGGGCCCAGCCCCACAGCCGGGCCTTCCAGGTCTGCATGGACGCGCCCCTGCCGCCCCCCAGCCTCAGCCTGGGCGCTCCAGCAAGTCCTGTGACGCCAGTGTGAAGTACAGGCTCTGTGAAGGGTCCTCAACTGGCCTGACTCCAGCCCTGTGCTCAAGACATTCCCTGCACCCCTGCTCAGGGGACAGGACTCAGAATGGGGGGGGGGGCGTCAAGGGTAGCTGGTTTGAAGAGATCTGTGGGAGGTGGGGCGCCCCACCGGGCGGGGGGGGGGTGTGTGTGCTGCTGCCCTCACCACTGTATGTAGGTGTCCATGGTTCCCGGGCGCAGCGGCACGAGGTCCTGAGCCTCCTTCACCCAGAAGTGCAGCTCCCCGCTCTCGGGCTGACCGGCGCCTGTGAAGGGGCTCAGCTCAGGCCCCCCCATATACACCCACCCTTCTTGCCAGAGGGAAACGCGCCACCTCCCGGGTCGGGTGGGATCCACTTGACCCTCTCAGGGGTGGGTCACTCACCCTCAGAGCCGGCAGGGATGTACTTGAGGGACAGAGAGAGCAGCCCGCGGCTGGGAAGGTCGTCGGGAGAAGGCGGCACCTGTGGGAGGCGGCGCCCATCAGCGGCGGGGCGGGCCCTGGGGAGGGCGCCTTGGGGTGAAGTCTCCAGACAGCGCCAGGCGTGGCTAACGGTGGGCCGGGCCCCAAGAGAGCTAGGGCCAAGGTGGTGGGTGGTGGGCATCTGAGCGCCCTCTCTAATGGTCTTCACGGGGTGGGGGGCTGGGGCGGCGCGGGGGTTTGAGGGAAGTCGGTAGAAAACCCGCCGGGCAAAGGGGTCTCCCCACGCGGGCGCTCTGCCTCACCCGGGGCTGCAGGGGGCGCCAGGTGGCCTCGGAGTCCCAGTTCCAGCTGTCCAGAGGCACTTCGACTTCCCCCAGAAAAATGTTGCGGCCCAGGCTTTCGCGATGCCACACGGACAGGCTGAGGACGCGGCCCTGAAGCTCGGCCTGCGGGACAGAGTACTGGGGACGGGAGGTGCGCCTTAATGGGGTGCAGCTAGTGGCCGCGGCCGCTGTGCTGTGGGAGTCCTGACATGGGCTTGTCCTACGAAGCTCCTCGCAGGATGGAACCCTGGGGAGCCCTAACAGGCATTAACGGGGTCGGGACTAGTGCCCTGCCCTTCCCTAAACACATTGGGGAACCCGCTAACCAAGGGCCCCACGGTCACTCCTGCAGAAGGGAGGGCAGTGAGAGCACTAGAGACTGGGGCTGCCCCAGGCGCCCGGCACTGGCAGGCGCGGGGAAGGGGGGCCGCCCTGTCCTCGCTGCCTCACCAGAAGAGTCTCGTTGAAGACGGGGTTCAGATTCCGTTTCCTCACGGTGGTCTTGCGCTTGCTCTGCTTATCCGGGAGGAGGTAGCTTTTGACGTATCTGGGGCGAGCGAAGTGAGAACCGGAGGTGAGGGGGGCCCTTCCCGCGCTGACTCCCCAGCCCGGGGGTTCCCCAGCCACAGCGCTGAACGAGGCTTCCGGAGGCCGCTCACGCGCACCCTGCAGGAGGCGTCCGGATGGCAGGATCTGGTGCACCCCCACGCCCCCCACCCCTGCGGGAGCTGCACTCACGGGTCGGAGCGGCGGCGCCGGGCGGCGGCCAGGCCCTGGCACTGGATCACGTGCACGCGCAGCTCGGCGGCACCCGGCTCGTAGCGCAGCGCGAAGTGCACCGAGCCGCGCACCTGCACGGCGCCCGCCTCCGCCTCTGCCAGGCTCATCTGGCTGCCGCTCAGCTGCGGGTGGGGGGGGGGCGCGGAAGGTCAGCGTGGGCCAGGGGCTCACGTCGGATGGGGGGAGCGCGGAGGGAGGGCTTGGGTCGGAGAGCTGGGGGTGAAGCGAGGTGAAGCAATGAAGATCAAGCGAGGAAGCCGTCCCGGGGACTTAAGTGTCAAGTTCTGGGGCTAGGGAGGCATCAGGCGGCACCGTCCACCTCTCCCCAACCCTCACCGTGGAGGAGTTGAGGCTGGACACCGAGGAGCTGCTGCTGAGCATGCGGTTGAGGGAGGGGCTGGGCTCCAGGGCCTGGTCCCCGTTCTCCAGGATCTCGGTCTCCACCTGGATCTGGGGAGGGTCAGAGTGACGGGGCGGCCCCCCTTCTCTGCCCCTTCCCCGACGGCTCCGCATCCAGGCGCCAGGACGCGCCGCACCCTGATCCGCTCCGGGTCTTGGGAGCAGCCGCGGGCTCCCGCCTACCTGGGCCGAGGGAGGCGGTGGCGCCTTCTCTCCCCGGGACCGCGTCTCCGGCTCCGGGTCCGCCTCCTTAGCTCGGGCAGCAGCGGCAGCAGCAGCAGCGCCGACCGGCGCGCACCCTGGGCGCGGGGCTGGGGCGGGCCACAGCTGCTGAGTGCGCCCCTCTCCGCAGGCCGAGGGCCAATGTGGAGGAGCCGGTCTACAACCGCTGTGACCTGCAGGTTCAGGCCCCAGTCCCCAATGGGGACCACTCCCAACCTCATCCCCGTGAGAGAACGCGGTTGTACACCTGTCTCTGATCCCCACAACCTCTCCACCGGCTGACCCACACACCCTTTGACTCACCTTCCCAGGCCTGTGGTTCCTCATGATCCGAGGCCTCTGGGGACACATATGGTGAAGGGGAATCAGGTCCCTGAAGGAAAGAAGGGGTAGAGGTCACCGCGGGGACTGGTGAGTGAGTGACAGGTCATGGTGAGGTCAGAGGTCAGAGGCTCCAGCCAGCTACCCAGCTCAGGCGTAGCACCGCCCTCAGGGCAGACCGGGGTTGCAGGACCAGCTGGGCCTGTACTTCACACCCCTTCACACTTCCCAGGGCTCCCTCTGGTGGGTGCCCAAACTCCCACTGTGAGTCCTGCTCCACTTACTCCCAATGGAGGCTTCAGAGAGTCCCTCGGGGGCTGGGTCCACACACCTTTCATGGGAGAAGGTGACAGGCACGGACCAGGGCCTCCTGATTCTCAAGCGGGGCCCTTGGTCCACCCTGCCTCTACTCCAGGGCACTGACCCTGACCGTCATCGCCTGTTGAGTCACTCACAACTCACCTCAGTCTTGCTGAGCCTCTCTTGGGGTGCTGGGCTGATGGGGAGTCTAGAGAAGGAAGAGGTGATGCAGGGGATGGGCCCCGGGTGACTGGTAGGCAGCCCTTCCCTGCCACACCTCCTTACCTGGGCTCTGGCTCCTCTTCATCCCCTTTCCCAGGAGCCTCAGCTTTCCTGGTGCCTCCCAGAGCCTGACCTCCTGCCCAGATGAGAATTCTGTGAGCCCCTGTTCTGCCAACCTCCTGTAGCTCCCGGAGGGGTGGTGGCCAGCAGGACACCAGTATGGGGGCAGCTGGATATCTTTCCCTATCCCCGAGCCCTTTGCCCTTGGCTGCACGAGGCCTGCCCCTCCCTGGGCACCTCCTCTCACCCAGGAAAGTCTTCTTCCTGCGGATGGAGGCTCGGACCAGGTCGGAGCCAAGGTGGGCCTGGTGGTGTCTCTGGGAGCGTGCCTCCTGGAACCAGTCCCCCGTCAGGATCTTCAGCTGCCCAGGGTCTGCCAGGGATGCCCGGAGCTTGCTGGAGGACGGGGAGGGTGTGGCTGTCACCTCTCACCCCACCAACGTTCCTGCCACCCATTCTGTGCCAGGCCCTGTACCTGGGACCAGGGACACAACCGGAAGTCAGACTCGAGCCCTGCTCAGGAGGATCTCAGTTTGGCGGGGAGACTGAGTCCAGCACAGATGTGTATACTACAGTGAGGTAGGTGCCACGACAGAGGGGAGCAGGGCCAGCTTTGCCAGTGGGAATCCAGGAGGACCACCCAGAGAAGGAGACAATTGCATTGCTTCTTAAGGATGGCATTCTCCAGGTAGAGAATTACTCATTAAATGATTTCTTCCCTACTCCCTCATTTTACGAGGTGGTGCCCTTAGCTCCAATTTACAGATGAGAGCAGTGCCAGGGAGGGCAGGTGAGTGACCTGAGGTTCCACAGCTGGGGCACACCTGTTTCCAGGCACAGGAGCCCATGCTGCCCTGCCACTGTGCCTCTCCGGAAGAGGGAACAGCACAGAAGTGAAGGGGCGCTCAGGGACCAGTGCCCCTGCGGCCACGCAGGCACTCTGACTGCTGGAAGTCGAGACAAGAGGGCCGTCCAGCAGGGGATTATGAAGGCCAGATCTTCGGGGACGGGGCAAGCCTGGGGCAGGAAGGCTGCCAGGGAGCTGGGGAAGCCACCCTGGAGAAGATGGGTGGGCTGACGGAGGGCAGTGGGGACCAACGGGTAAAGCTAACAGCTGCCCAGATCGCTGGCAGGCCACACGATGCGGGGAAGTGTGGAGACCACCTAAAGCTGAGGCCCCTTCCTCCCGGGCTCCCCCGCCTGCCTCACCTGACCCGTCCCTCCTCCAGCTGGCGCAGGTGGGCATCTCGCTTCAAGACTTCAGCGATGGCTTCCTGCTCCTCCTCCGTCAGGAAGCTGAGGTCCAACAGCCCGTCAGCCTCAGTCTCTGACTCATGTGCCATGAGGAGGCAGGGCCGGGCCCAGAGCCTCTCTTGAGATGTGTGGCACCTCTGGGGCATCAGCTGGGGCAGTGCCCCGGCTGGGCACACGTGGCTCCCTGGAGGCAGACCAAGGGTCAGGTCGAGTGCTGCCAAGTACAGGGCATGTCCTGGCTGACTGCCCTTTTCTGCTCAACTATGTGTCAAGGTGAGTGCGGCATCTCCTCAGGAGGGCTGAGGTCAAGGTGGTGTGGGACGCATGCGCCTGCCCGTGAACACACCACGGCCGTCCTCACCCCGCAGGCACTGGCACAGGTGGCCACAACTACCCCAGGGAGACGGACGCCGGCCTCGCACACACACCGGGAGTGCTAAAGGAGACAGGCCGCAGTCCCCCCCCCCCCCATGAAGGCCAGCCTACCAGTCACAGGCCCGGCCCTGAGGCCTGTATTAGACTGACCAGCTGGTCTGCCCAGGGGGCTGAAACAGCAGGAGGAGCCAGCACAGCACTAGATTCTGCTTCTGGGAGGACAGGGGACTGGCCTTGGGGAGGGGTGCTGTGGGCACACACACGCCTAGAGGTACCTGCAGGAGGGGTTCGCCTGTTCAAGGGTGTCAGGACAGAGACATGCGGCCACAGCTGTCTGAACAAGCACTGTCTGGGTCCCACCTGCTTGTGGCTCCTGAGGGCAGGGATGGGGCCTTTCCCCAAAGCCAAGCACTTTGCACACCACAGACAGCTGGTAAAAGTTAGAACTGAGTGCAGCATGCATGTGCACAGACGTGGGGAATGCGTGCACGCACGCACCTAGGCACGCAGGCGCACACACATGCCCCTCCCCGTTGCCCAGGAACCTCCCAATCAGGTCCCCTCCCTCCACCCTTCACCTCCACCCTGCCTTGGCCCACTTGGTCTTCCTGTCTGAGGCAACCTCCTTCTTAGCCCACACCCCGGCTTCCTCCCCCTGAAATAACCACTACACCCACTCCCACTGAGGCCTCCAGCCCAGGGATGCCCCTGCTGCCAGCCTGCCCTCTCCCTGGAGCCCCTGGGCTCCAGTGACGGGTGCCCCTTCCCAGTCCCAGGCTAGGTTGGCAGGCCTTTGCAGCTCAGGTGGTGAGCTACCACGGTGACCCCGGAAGGAAAACATTCTCCTGGCTTGAGGGGCGTGTTGACGTGGCAGGGGGCCCTGACAGGGCTCGGGCAGTGAGGGACAGTCTCTAGGCAGTCTCTCCCCCACCCCCATGGGGCAGCAGGCAGCCAGATGGGAAGAGGGCTTGGCGGGCAGGTCCTGGCTTGTGCCTGCCTGCGTGGTGCCCTCCCAGCTGAGTCAGTGTCCAGGCCCCATGGGCCCTGTCCCCCAGCTGCCCCCTCGCCCCAGAGCCAGGGGCAGGGTGGGGTGTTGCAGCAGGTGGCTATCAGGACCCCCATGTGAATGCCTGTGTGCCCGACTAAGGATATTTCCTGAACATTTACTGCGCTCTGGGTGCTGGGTGCTGCGAACAGGCTGGGCTCTGCGGGGCGGGCGGGTGCAACCGGCCATGATGCAGCCTAGGGAGAGGCTCGGTTTGTGGGGTCGTGGTGTGGGACCCCTGCCTGGGTGTTTGGGGGTATGAAGGCGACGTCAGAGTGTGATGCCGCTGGGTGACTGTTCAGTGAGTTTTGGGGCGTCACCTCCTGTGTATTTCCTCCTGGGTTGTGGCGTGTGCACAGGCGCCTCGGGGCCACCAGATGTGTGTGAGTCTGGAGGTGGGGGGCCTTCTGCATGACAGACCCTGCCCTGGCCCTGTAGGTCTGCCTGGGCTGAGGTGGCCATCTGAGCCGGGGTGCCCACAGCACCCCTTCCTGAGGCTGGTCCTGTCCTTCCAGAGGCAGAAGCTAGCGCTGGCTCTTCCCGCTGTTTCAGCCCCCTGCGCAGACCAGCTGGCCAATCTAAGGGTTTGAGCCCCGTCCGGCTGTTCCGGTCCTGGACCCATGCCCATGTCCCCCACCCCAAAGTCCCAAGGTACCAGGTGGCAGTGCCTGCTCGGGGACCCTGGCAGAGGAGCCCCAGCCCGAGCATGTTACCTGTAGGGGTCCAGTATGGAGGGAAAACCTTCACAGGGCGACCCCAGCTTCCCGGGCAGCCAAGTTTCAGGGGCCAGGAGGAGAGCTGTGAGGCACTAAGGCTGACTCAACCAGCAGTCCAGCAGCAGCCCCGCCAAGGCGGGGAGGAAACACCTCGCAGGGCCTGATGCAAAACCGGGCCTGGACTCCTGGCTCGAGGCCACGCCCCTGCCTCCAACTTCTGAAAACCCCGATCTACATACAGGTAGCAGGTGGGCGAGGTGGAGGCTTGGCCACAGCTGTGCAGACTTGCCCTGACCTCAGCAACAGAGGGGCACCCTGCAGGGTCTTGGCTGCCTCATCTGTAGGGTGGGTGGCAGCCCCACCCAGCCTGGTGAGGAGGGCATAGGAACCTGCTCAGAAAATAAAGCTGGACACCTGTGAAAGCTCTGTAATGGAAAAGGTGCCTGCTGAGCAAGCGGACCAGGGGCCACGGGCAGGTAGCAGCAGTACCCAACCAGGTAAGGGAGCCCCCGGGCCTGGCACAAGCTGGCACACAGTAGTAACCGACTGTCCTGTCTCCGGCACAGTCCATTTTCAGCCCCACCGCCCCTCCCCGCAAGTGCTGGTCGCTGCAGAGCCGTGTCTGTCCCCTTGGCCACTGGGGAACCCCTGCTGTTTGGACTCTTCTAGGCGCAAAGCGAGGCTCTGGTGCTTTCCCTCTGCCCACAGGGAGCCCCCCCCCCGTGCCCTCTGCTCCCAGATTCTGCCCTGCCATTAAATTACATTTGTTTGGGCACCGTGAATGAGACCACACCGAGGCTCTGGAGCCCCAAGTCTGCTTCACTCTACTGACCGTCCTGCCCCACCTGCAGCCACAGCTTTAGCTCCCAGCAAGGAAGCCGGCAAGGAAGGCCCACCCCTCCCTCCCTAAGCCAGCTCCTGAGCAGCACCTCCCTCGGCACACCTGAAGCTCCTTCTCCCCCACTCACCCAACCGCCAGTGTCCCCACTTACCTTTTACAAGTGGATCTGATTTTCTGGAGTGGCAGTAATCATCCCTCCTCAGGGGCTTCGCCGCCCTTCAAGAGGAGCCCTGCGGCGCTCAATGAACCAGCCCATGCATTGTCCACAGCACCGCCGTGGGGGGATCACTGTGGTGCCGGCTCCAGTGGCGTAGCCCGAGGGAGACATCCTCACCCCTTCCTGGCTCCACCTCGGGCTGTTCTCAGCAGCCTCCTCCTGGAAGGCAACCTACGCCTCTGTCCACTCTCCCCACTTCTCAATCACCCTCTCATAGCGCCTGGCCTTGCTTCAAAGGGAGATTCAGCACAGGCCTCGCCCACAGCAAGCACCCAATACAGGAGCCGGCTTCTACGGCCTGCGGCCTCCCAGGGCTGATTGAAAGTTCTGCTGGTGGCAGTGCGTCTTAAAACTTTCTCCATCCATTGTGTTGGTTGTCCACCCCCACCCCATCAACTCTCAGGTGGACCCCTAGATGTGAAGCAGGCTTTTGAAAATGGAACAGCTCTGAAGTGGGAGAGAGGATACTTCTGCCTTGGCCTGGAGGAACCTGAGGCTGAGAAACTGCTGGGGCTGGGAGGAGTTGGCCTGAGGGCCAGCCGCGGGCGCTGGAGGGACAGGGCCCAGCACATCCCCCTGCTAGTTCTACCGATGGGATGGCAGAGCAGGGCGAGGAGACTTCGCCTAGGGTGACTTCTAAGCTGGGCTTGGGGAAGCAGACTGGGATTCTCAGGGGGAAGCCCCAGCAGTGTGGCGGGTGCTGCAGCAGGGTGTGAGGGGAGTTGTTCAGGGGAAGGATGTCCTAAAGGAACTCTGCAGAGTGCTGTGGACTCCACCCCTACTCCAGTGACTGGAAACTACCACTCCCAGCAGTACCGGGGGAGAACTGCGAAGACTCAAGGGCAGAGCTAAGCAGGCATTCTGGGACTTGGGGGATAAACAGGGTGCCATTTTGTCCAACGGGCTCTCTCGCTCGGGAAATAGCTCTTGGGACCTCACGAATTGGGACTGTGTGACTGGGGGTTTACAGTTAGTTACCAGAGCGCCAAGTCAGCCTAACAGGTAAGATATTCCAGTTACTTTGTATCCCTCTCTCTTTCCCTGGGTTGTTTTCTTTTCCCTTTTTGTAAATAACCCATTATTGACCCTTTTGTGTGCGCCTGCAGTACAACTGTATTTTAAGCGTGAGGGTGCGGCGCCACAGACAGGCAGCCCAGTTCACACCGGGGTGCCCTGTAACGTCCTCACCGGGAGAAACTCAGCCACATGATGAATCTGGCTAGGGCGGAGGTGGGGGGGGTGGTTCCCTTTTCCCAAGCTGTTTCCCTGGCTGGGGGAGCAGATTCAGGGCTCTGGGAGGCCCAGGCAGACTCCCAACCCTATGCAGAGTTCTTCCCAGTGGAATGTGGGAGGGGACCATACTCACCTGCCTGGGGAGGGACGGTGGCCCAGGGGCTCCCACAGCCCAGCAGCCAGGACTTATCTGAGGGGCTCTGAGGGGCGCTGACGTCCCTGTAAGCTCCAGGTCTGAGAAGGACTCAACCACTGCCTGGCAACCAGGCCTTTCACCATGGCCCCAGAGATCAAAGATGCTCAAGGACATCAAGAAGAGTGGAGCCCCGGGCAGGGGTTGCGGAAGGGCGCGAAGAAGGACAAGGCGAGCTGGAGTCAGGACTTAGGACTCTTTATTGTCCTTCCCTGGTGCCTGCACAAAGGATGTGGGGCGCAGGGAAGGCTGCCAGGCCTCCAGAGCTTGGAGAAAGGGGGAGTGAGGGAAGAGAGGGAGCAGCTCCCTCTGGCTCCCTGGTGGGGCCCGGCTGACAGTCCCCCATCCTGAACCCCGGGGGTGCCATCACCAGGGAAAGGCCCACACCAGGGCTGGGCCAAGCTGTTTGCGGGGCTCTGGTTGAGGGGCCACTCTGCACATCAGCACCCCTCATCTCTCCAGCCTGACTAGCGGAGCAAGACCCCAAACTGCAGGTGGGACATGGGCTCTGGGAGAATGGGAAGACCCAGGCTGGGCTGGAGGACACCAGGGAGACGGGGCACAGATTACCCCAGTGCAGTGCCTGGCAAACATCTGAAGGGGAGGCCTCCAGCCCCACTGGACCCTTGTACAGGCTGGTGGGCTCACAGAGACTCCTGCGGACCCCCCACCCGGGCCGAGCCCACAGCAGGAGGGGCTCCGCATGCGGCCGGGCCCTTTCTGGGGTCTACGCATCCTTCTCTCCCCACCAGGCACAGGCCAAGGCCGAAGGAGCGCCGGTGGCAGTGGCAGCAGCTCCGAAGGGCGCCAAGGCTCTCCTGGAGCTGGACAGTGGGTGGCTCAAGGACGGGGGTCACAACACAGGAAGGAGGGGCGAGGAGTTCTGAGCAAGCGGAGGTACAGTGAGCAAACAACCCTCCTCACGCTCATCCTCAGTTCTCACTCTAACCCACTGGCCACAGCCTCTGGGTCAGAACCGGCAGGTCCATCCCTGCCTTCGTGGTGAGGAGACAAAAACCTGGAACCAAAGAGATGGCGGCTGCCTCCTCGGAGGCTGGTGTGTTTGGGGCTGGGCTGCTATCACCGCAGGTTAAAGACCAGGCTGACGGTGAGGATGACGCCCAGGAGGAGGACGAACGGCAGCCAGGTCTTCACGAAGGCGCCGACGCTGACAGAGAGAAGGGGGGTCCAGGTGGGAAGGGCCCGTGAGCGGGTGTTCAGCCCCTCTCATCACAGACCCAGATGGAGCTGCTGCCCCTGAGGAAGCGCACCCCCTCACCCTGCACTTGGTCACCAAAGGCGTGTGCTGGACCCGGCACCGACACAGAACCCAGCAGCGAGCGCCACCGTGGCAGGGGCTGATCTGGCCACACTTGCTGGGCAGTGCCACCCCTCTGGGCTGCAACGGTGCCATCGTGACCACACCTTCTCCAGTGAGCAGACTGGGACCCCCAGTCTGGTGTGGGAGCCAGAAGGCCCCCTGCCCAAGCCCTCTTCATGGGGCCCTCAGTTCAGCCCCTCTCAGCTATCTCGGAGAATGGTACTGGCTTCTCAGGGGGACTCTTAAAGGCCTTCTGGGTAAAAAGACTCCCACGACTCTCCTTTTCAGCGGTGCTTGGTGCGAATGAGCGCTGGGTTAGCCAGGTATGTGGCAGCCCGACAGTGGGTGAGCTCACAGTGGGTGACCTGTGAACCGGGACCAATGCCAGTGACCTCACAGGTCATGAGGCCACGGCTTCCGAGATCCTCATGGGCCACCACTGAGACTTTCTGCCCAGAACCTAGCCTCTGAGGAGGAGTGCTGTGAAGGGGCCCTGTGCGATGGTCACCTACTTTCCTTGGGTGGGGGGCTATGTATCCATGTGACCTAAGCAGAGCCTCCCCCAAGGGGCCAGAGTCACTGTCCCCGCTTCACCCAGGACAGCTGTAGCTCACAGAGGCCAAGGCAGTCACCCAAGATCCGCCGTGAGCAAGTGCCAGAACTGGGCTTGGGACCTACAAGAGCCACCTCATTCTCCAACAGGAGCTGAGCTAGTTGTTCTAGAACCTTTGTGGCAGCAACCAGCAGCCGCTTATCCCTGCTGGCTGGAGGACTCCAGCACCGGCCCTGCTGGGCTCCTGGGGGGGGCGCAGGGGAGGGTGGCTCACCTGACATACTTTCCATAGAGCAGGCAGAAGAAGCAGAGCGTCACCATGTTCCAGTTGGTGCTGTTGCTGTAGCGCATCAGGTTCAGGGCCAACGCCACGTGTGAGTGGCAGTTGTCACAGCAGAGGCTGTGCTGGAGACACAGGAGAGGCCGAGTCAGGCCAGGTAGGGGGGTGCTGGCCCTGGCTCTCACCCTCGGGAGAGGCCCACCTACCATGCGGTGCTTGTACTCCTCAGAGGCGTCGTGAACGGCCGTGTCCCAAGCATTGGGCCCGCTGGCGTACACCTGAGCAGGGTCCAGCTTCCAGTATCTGGGGGGAGACAGGCAGTTCTGGGCACTGGCTGTCCCCTCAGCCACTTAGCCCCACACATGTTCCTGGGCACAGGGCCTGAGCTGGGTGTGGGGGCTGCAGGCCCAGAGAAAGGGCCACACAGCACCACACTAACAGCACACAGCCCCCTCCACGCGGCCCTGGGAAGGTATGAATAAACCTAGCAGACAGGAGGCAGGAGAGGCTTCTGGAGGGGACACCTGAGTCCAGTGTGAAGGGAGAAGAGTCGGCCAGACTCAGAGCAGGACTTCTGGGCAGAGGGAACGGCTTGCCAACCGGGAGAGGCACACAACATACTAGAAACTAAATGGCTAGGCGGTGCCGGAGGGTGGGTGACATGGTGATGGGATGGTGGGAGGTGAGGCTGATATGCTGACGCAGGACCTGAACGTGATCGGAAGGAGTCTACCCATCAGCAGCTGTCCCCGACTCCCCATAGCCGTCCCTCTGACTCCCCGCCCAGAAGACAGTGCTGCGTAGGAGAGCAGCTGGTGGGGCTAAAACCTCAAACATCCAGCTCATGGGAACAGCTGTTCCAAGCAACAGTGTGCCCCAAAGGGCAAGCCAGGAAAAGCTGGGAGGTCAGAGCACCCCCCGGAAGCTGTGGAGAACGGCTTGGTGGAGGCTGGGGGCAGGACCAGTGAGAAACCAGCGGCCTGCAGGGCTTCTACCTAGGCCTGGGTGTTCTTCAAACTGTCCTAGAAAAGCAGCCTGGTGGCACACACGATGCCCACGCCAGGCTGTCTCTGCAGGGGTGGGGACCCCAATTTCTGCTCAGGCCACTTTCCTTGGGAACAGGGGCTATGCTGAGCATCCTGAAGGAGGCACTGCCCCCAGGCCCACAGCTGAGGTGGGTCCGCAAGACAGAAAAAGTGAAGACTAGAATTCTCAAGCAAAGCAGCAGTAGGTCCCAGAGGGCCTGAACTGCTTTTGTTCTAACCACAACTTTCCAGCAAGTTCAGATAACGTCGCCCTTCTACCTGAATGGCTTGCTCACTCCCAAGCCGAGTGGGGCACCGAGGGTGAGTACTGCTCTGCCCCTTCCCTCCGATGGAGCTGCAAGCGCCACTGGCCAAGCTGGAGGCCTAGGCGGTCCCTGGGTAAAGGCCCTGTGGGCCTGTGTCTGTGCTGGAGCCTGGCCGGCCCTCCCCTCAGCCATGGTGTGGGTGTGGCTCCCAGAGTACCGAGGGCCTGGCCTGCTGCTCGAGGCAGGAGGAAGCTGGCCCTGGGCAAGTCATAGGGTGCTCAGCACTTACTTGGCAGGCTTCCCAAAGGCCATGTTGTCTTCCTGTTGAGGAAAGGGAGCAGAGGTCAGTAAGGCATCGGCATCCAACCCAAAAGAGGCCTGGGTCAGCAGTGGTGTGCGTGACTCAGGAGTGTGTCAGGTGGGCAGTGGAGTCTGGCCCCCCCTCTGGGGCTGGCCTGGCATCTGAAGCACCAGCAGTGCTCTTCAGTAGGAAGAAGGCAGATGCCCAAAGAGCACCGCCCAGGGGCCAAAGCCTCGGGACAATGCAAGTGCGCAGCTGCTCCCAGTAATCCTTGCTCCCTCTAGGCCTCCTTTGCTCTGGACTATTGGGTCAATTCCTGACCTCTGATTACAGGAGGCATTTTCCTTCCCTGTGTAAAGGATGATACCCTGCGACCCTGCCTGACGGCGATGGTCCACAGGGTGCTTTCTCCACGTGCGGCAGTCTGACTGCATTAGAGCGAGGGGGTGTCTTCCTTGCACGGGCACATCCCAGCCTCGTCCTACACCCACCAAGATCTGGGCTGTGGAAATTCTACGGGGATAGAGTCTGGGTCCAGAATCAGAAGATCCTGCTGCGAGCTGGGCAAAGATGAATTATGAAAGGATATGACACTAAGTAACGGGTGGGGAAGACCTCTGTCGTGTTAAGATCACGACAACTCATAATCAGCGGGCTGGTGCCCCCAGAACCCTTCATTTTAGCCTCTGCTGGCACAAGCTGAGAGCTGGAATGAGGCAGGATGCTTCCTGCTCATTTGGAACCGGCCCACGGCACCCATCTTGGCACACCCCAGGAACAGACCTGAGGACACAGCAGTTCATTCTAGAAGCCCCACCCCCTCTTCTCCAAGGCCATACCTAGGGAACCTCGGCAGCCGCGTTCCCACCTTGTGACTTGCACCTTCTGAAGGTCCAGAGATGTGGGTCCTGGGTGGTCTGACTCTCCACTCTTGCCTCTATAACCCCTACCCGTGTCTCGGTACCCCGGGGATGGGCAAAGGATGGGTCAGTTACTTAAGAATCCTTCTGGCCACGCTGCCCTCCCGGCCTGTCCTGGAGGCAAGAGAAGGAGCAAAGGGGTGAAATGCTGGGGAGAAGCAGAGGACCATGGACTGCCAGTATGTGCCTTCTCCTGGTCTAAGGGAGACAAGGCGCTGCCTACAGACAAGACAGGCTGGCTCCCGCTTTAGCCTTTAGGCCGCAGAGCAGGGTGGGGAGAAACAGGGGCTCACCGAGACAAAGTAGGGGCCTGCGAAGTCTCGAATGACGCCTGTGGATGTGCAGATGCCCATGTGGCCGATGATGGGAAAAAACCACCTGCAAGGAAAACGGGCAGAGCTCAGGGGTCTCGCAGCTGGCTAGACAGACACTGGGACACTCCACGTGGTGAGCGCCACTCAGAGTGGCCAGAGGGGCTGGGAAGCCCAGAAGAGGACAAATGTAAACGACAAATGAGCAAAGCAGGGAGCACTGCACCCCCAGGAATGGTGAGCCTCAGGAAGTCGGCGGAGTGTGGTGAGGGCTGAGCGACTGGACTCCCTCTCGCTGCTGGTGGGCAGAGCTTGACTCTACTGCTTCCAGAACTGGCAACAGAGAATATGGCGCAGGGATCCCATGGCAGAGTTACACCCAACAGTGTTCCCAGAGCCAGGGCAGCTGGGAAAAGCTGGGTCAGTCACTTTTGTCAAAACTCACTGCACTTGGGCCTCCCTGGTGCCGCAAGGGGCTAAGACTCAGCACAATGAAGCTCCCGCAGCCACTGCAGCACAGAGCTCGATCCCCGGCCAGGGCGCTGACGCACATGGCGCGGCAGACCTCTCCTGACCTGCCTGCTGCTCCCCTCAGCAGTGTACTTCATCAGTCTGCTTGCTCTGCTCCCCACTGTCTCTGGCGAGTCCTCTCACATGCCCTGCACCTCTGGCCCGCACCCAGCTCTTGTATGCATAAATAAATCTTAAAATAAACTTCACTACACTGTCACCTTAGTGTGTATGTGCTTTACTACTTACAAATTATCTTTCAAGAAAGTTGATTTAAAAATAACTAGAAATAATCCAAATATCCAATGATAAATTGTGGTACAGTCATACAATGAAATAGCAGGTAATAAATTCTTGCTACCCACTAAACAACCCAGAGTCTCAGATAGAAGACGGAGTGAAAAAAGACTCAAAAGTATATGCATCTTATTCTGTTTACACGAAGTTCAAGAAAAGACAAAACTAACCTATGGTGTTAGAGGGCAGAGAGGGCTATTGCGGGGCTGAGACAAGTGGCACAGGGAGCCTCTGGGTACCTTACAGTTCACTTTTAAAAGCTATGGACAATTTTAAAAGTGGGACTCTGATATGCCAACACAAAGGAACCCACATATGTCTGCAGCCTGAGCCCCAAGGCTCTGCAGGGCCTTGTGCCGGAGACTGGTCACAGGGTCAGGGACCAAGTGCTGGGCTCAAGGCTGCACCCTGGAGGCGAAACCCACAGAGATGCAGCACAGGACTGCGTGGGGCTGGGCCAGTCAGCAAAGGCTTCGCTGAGGAAGTGACTTCTAATCTTGACCTGTGAAAGATGTTAAGAAAGATGTTAAGTTTGCGGAAAGCAAACTCTGAAGCAGCAAAGTGCTCGTGTGTCTGCAGAGTGCAGGGCTGGTGCGTGGGGTGGGGGGCGCAAAGGGCAGTCCAGATGGAGGGAAGGAGGGCAGCCAGTTCAGGGGGTGTCCTGGAATACTGGCAAGAATCGATGGTGTTCGGTGAAAAGCAGATGATTTAAAAAGCTCTTTAAAAGACTGACAGAAGACAAGCCCCCCGAGTCTATAGTCTGCGCACTCAAGAGATGGTGGGGCCGGAGCGGCCTTTTGAGACCATAATTCAGATTCCCTTTCCCTTGCTTCACATTCTAGTGGCTTCTTATTACACTTATGTTTTGCTTCAAATCCCAACAGTCTGGCCCTGCTTATTCCTTGAAGTTACCTCCTTTTTCTCTAATCGCCCTGCCTGCTCTGGCTCCTCAAACACACCGAATTCTCCCCCAGTGCTTCCCCTCGCTTGCCTTTCCCTCTGGCCGGAAGGCTCCTTCCCTCGAGCCTTGCGCCTTTGGCTGCTTCTCATCTTTTAGGCCTCAGCACAACTGCCAACTTGGGTCTTTCTTGACCACACCGTCTGGTGTAACCACACATAAGCCCAGGCCCCCCAGATCCGATTACTGTCTTAATTTCTCCACAATATCTACCACTGTCTGAAATTATCTTGCTTACTTACATGGTAACCACAAAAGGGATATTCCCCCCAACCTGGAAGCTCCACAAAAGTGGGGATTTTCTTACCAGAGTTGTCGCCGGAGCAGTGTGGAGATACAGCTGGAGCTAAGTACTCACCGACAACGGGGGAATGGACTCCCCACGAGCACAGCGGAGTTGGGCTCTGTTGCCAGATCGGGGTAAGATCTTGACTTGGAGCAAGTAACTCTGCCTCCCCTCATCGTGAGAGGTGGGTGGAAATGACAGTCACTTCAGTGGGGGCGCGGAGAGGGTTAAAAGGATATGTTGACAGAGTGCTGGATGTTATATTGGGCATCCAGGAAATACTGTGTCTGGCTGGCTGGACTGGCACAGAATTAAGTTCCTGAAGTCTCATCATGACCACAGGATGGACACTTAGGAAGTTTTAGGAAAGTAGCCCCCCGGCTTCTCACACTCTCTCAAGATGTGTCTCCTCTTCCTGCCCTGTTCCCCCCATCTGGCTTTGATGGGCATTCAGCTGTGCTGGCCGCTGCTGATGGGAACTGAAGGCCAGCGTAGCAGCTGAGAACTGCCCCCAGTGAAGCCCCAGATAAGCGCTTCTACACGTATGTCAGTCTGGAAGTTCCAGGAAGACAGATGTCAGAGCTGCGTATGGACCACTGACTGCTTGGGATCTAGTGCACAACAGTCCTTCAATAGCTACTGACCGAGGAACTCCCTGGTGGCACAGGGGTTGAAGTCTCAGTGCTGTCAAGCCAGCCACTGTGGCATGAGTTCAATTCCCGCCAGGGAGCTGACCCACGTGGAGCAGCAGACCTTTCTTGCCTTTCCCGCCGTCCCCTCAGCAGTGTATTTCAGTAGAGTGCCTGCTCCGCTCTCCACTCTGTTTCTGGTGAATCCTCTCACCACCCCCACCCCTGTACCTCTGGCCTGTACCCCAGTTAAAAAAAAAAGTTACTGAATGCATGAATGAATTACTGACCCCACATTGCTTCACCTTATTTCCTCATCTAGACAATGGCAACCAGAGCATCAACTTTCACTAGATGGATGAAAGGACTCAATGAATAGTGAACATAAAATGTTCTGAATAGAATTCAGAACAAACTATCCAATCTTAGCTATTTTTATTAGTAGCAGTAGCTATTATCTGGCATTTCATGCAGCATTACAGACATCTTTGAGGGCTTGGACAGATTTTTGGATTCATTCTCCTCTCTGATCCTCCCTTCAAAGACAGATGGCAGTTTCTCGTGCCACATCTATTCCGAGCCGTGCTCTCTAGGTCAGTAATCACAGTGCATGCCAGTGGCTGGCTCTCCTGCCTCTCTGCCCCTTCTACTGGAGGGCAAGTTCTTTCATTGGCACGAGCCCTCTGACAAGGGTACCAGGTCTCTTTCATCCCAGTCTTATGAACACTTGCACAGAGCTGAGTAGAAATGGGGTGTGCACTGCTCTCGCCTATATATGTGGCTGGGGACTGACATGTCTCTACCTCAGATTGCAACCAGCTCTCTGGAAGGCAGAGAACTCCACAAACGTGTTTTTAAAAAACACATACTAAGAGACCTTAGAATAACAACACAGGTTTCAGCAAAACCAATACATTCTCTGACTATCCTTCCCAAATATCCTCAGATTAACAGTTTACTTTCTTCATAGCAGTAATCATTATCAGTTCTCTTAAGAGTTTACTGTCTCCTTCCACCATATTTATTTATTTATTTATGTTTTATTATTATAACAGTTTATTTTTACATCATTTTGTACATTTTTTCCCCATCTCAATTGTAATCCTCGCGGGTTTCCCATCACCAAGTCACCCGTGTGCCATCACCATAATCCCGTGCACTTCCCTCCCCACCCCCCGTTTTTGATCCCATTCCCCACTCCACCCCCACAAAATGTCTCTGGTATCCACCATATTTATTTATTTAAAAAAATTATTTAGGCATCCAAGAACTAGGGTACAGGCCAGAGGTGCAGGGCTGGGTGGGGGTGGGGAGCGGATCTATGTGTGTGAGAGGATTCACCAGAGACAGTAGGGAGCACAGCAGGTAGATCGACTGAAAAACACCGCTGCAGAAGTAGCGGGAAAGACAGGAGTGGTCTGCTGTGCCATGTGGGTCAGCTCCCTGGCCAGGGATGGAACTCATGCTGCAGTGGCTGCAGACAGCTTCATAGTGCTGTGCTTAACCCGTTGTGCACAGGGGAGGGCCCTTCTACCATGTTTAAATTCAATGACAGCAAGGACAGTATCTGCTTTATTCTCCACTATATATTCTATCACTTAAAGCTAGGCCTATAGGAATCATCTAAGAAAATGTTAAAGGAACATTGAATGAATTGATGAATTAACATTTTTTATTTATCTATTTTAAAGATTTATTTACTTATGCATACAAGAGGTGAGGGGTTGGGGCTGAGAAGATTTACCAGAGACAGAGTGGGGAGCAGAACAGGTGGATCTACTGAAATACACTGCTGAGGGGAGCAGCAGGTGACACAGGAGAGGTCTGCTGCACCATGTGGGTCAGCTCCCTGGCTGGGGATCAAACTCATGCCGCAGTGGCTAGAGATAGATTGAGAGCACATTTTTATTTTTAAAGGACTAAGACCTGGATGCTCTTAAATGCATGTGCACTTGAATACACAAAAAATGTTAACGTGATAGAAAAATTTAGGTCATTTTAGGGACAGCAATATCTACAGAACAAAATGACCCCTTTCCTGATCACTACCTGGCTGTTCTTAATAGAAATGAACAAATCTACCCTCTCAAGTGAGAGGGGATAGGATGGAGTCAAAGGAGAGAAATTATGGAGTCAGAAGACTGAGTCCAGGATGCCTTTGCTGTGCAAGGGCAAACACATTAAATGGTACAGAAAGCTGGAATCCATCACCTGAGAAGGTAGTTCCTGACTTAGAAAGTGGCTGTGAAATCCAGAGAATCTGACTCCGAAGGAGCGTGGTTAACTGTCCAGCACGGTGAGGAGTAATTATCAGCTGCCAAGGCCCATGCGGGGGTAAGCCAGCTCCCCACCTGCTTTCTCTCCGGACAAAAGCTGCAGACACCTGGGACTTAAACCCTCTTTGCATTGAGCTGGTGTGTGGTCGCCCTCCAGCCTCACCTGTGAGACAAAGGTCTGGGGCTCTACCAAAGCTGGCATCCCTGGAGTCGGTGGGATCCCGACCCAACTCCCACCGGCGCCTCCAGACCCCAGGCGGTTTTGCCTACAGAAGTGACCGGCAGGTATTTGCACAAGAATGAATAAGCTAGTGAATGAATGAAGACGTCTCCTCAGATCGCGTCCAGGGCCCGCTCTGTACGCCCACAGAAACCTGGTGCGAAGGCGCGAAGTGTATCCCTCGGTCAACGGCAACTGGAGCCGCGCGGGTGGCGGGGTTCCAGTGACAGGGCGAGACGTGAGGATCCGCCCCGGGGTCGTCCGAGGACGCCGCGCCGCCCCGCCTCTCCGGGGCCCAGCTGGTCGCCGGGCGGACGCCGGCGGAGACTCACGTGAGCACCGGGATGGGCGTCCACACCACACAGTAGGGGAAACGGCTCCGCTCCACGTCCATGGCTGCGCCACCCTGCTTCTTGTCCGTCTGGGCCGCCGTCGGCGCCTCCACTTCCGCCATCCCGTGCGGGGGTGGCGGCGACGGCAACAGGAGAGGCAGGCTCCCTTCCGCTTCCGCCATGCCGCGAGCGGCCCGCTCCGGTCAGCCCCGGCCCCGGCGCCGCTCGCCCCCGTGGCGTCACTTCCCGGAGACAGGGTCCGCCGGGCTCGGCCTTCCCCCGGGAACTGGAGCCGCGTGCCTCTGGGCCCGGCGGCCCGGCGAGGTTGCGCCGACGTCGCGCGAGGCTGAGGGGCGCCCTCGGAGGTGCGCGGGCTGGCGCGGGCGCGGCCGCCAACTCCAGTGGACTAGCAGAGCGCTCCCGAGAGGCGCGCGGCGGCCGCTGCTGAGCCCTTCCTAGGTGCCAAGCACGTGACACACGTTGTTCCTAATGCCCACGACTGGCTAGACCCGACCGTAGGTTTTCCTCCGGTCGTAAATGGGAAATTGAGGCTCAGGTGGTGAGTGGCCACGATTCAGAACCAAGCCTATCTTCTAATTCTGTGGCCTCCCACGAACAGTGGAAGGAGTGGCATAGTGCAAGGCCAGAATAAAACTGCGTGTGTAAGCAGGGGAGACTTGGCGGGAGAAGGTTGAGCTGAGTCTTCATGTTGGCCAGGTGGCACGCGCTGTCCTGTGGGGGAAAAGTGCGCTGCCGTGCAAAGCAAGGAGGCCTTGCGGAGCACGGTTCGCGGGAGTGTGATTACCGTCTTGGCTGGACTAAATCACAAGCTTTTGCTGTGCACTCATCTTTTCATTGTGCAAGTGGGAAAATTGAGGCTCAGGGACGTTAACTGCTGGAGGTCACATACAACCATATTACGAAGTCAGGCTCAAATCTTACCTTCGGTGTTTTTAAAGGGTGACAGGATGGACAAAATGGAATCTGCTGGGGTGGAAGTGGGGGGCAACTGAAAGTCGGCAGCAACTACAAGTCAGGCTAGAAGATGGTGTGAGCAAGCCCACTCAAGACGGTGCCTCTTGGGAGGCCTTTTCACCGCCCGGTTACCCTCCACAGTGCTCATCTGTAAAAGAATGCTGTCCTGATTTAGGCGCCTATGCCTAATTTTTTTTTATTAGCACCTAGTATTTTAATGCATTGGGCGTCATCTCTCTCTGGGAGGCACCTCTAAGGTCCTTAATCTCAGTAGGTAGCACAGTTCCTGAGCTATGTCCACTAGATGCTTATTAACTTATTAAATGATTGCATGGATGTTTTATAACCCACTGAACATGATTTTAACCCACTCAAGTCTTTTTTGCACCTCTTCTGTGACCTGTGTGTAGTATAAGATTTCTCAAAGGACAATAGCCAGCATCTAGCATGTGACCATGTGATTTGGAATAGTTTGGGTTTTCCTATGTTTGTGGAATGAATAAATCCCATCTCTTCTTGATTCAGTCACTTCAGCTATATAATCTCTTCTGGACCCACAGGCCCCAGGGAAGGTCTAGTCCTTCTTCCAGCATCACTGTCAATCCACAATTCTAACATGGGACTGGTAGGTAACCTTTGGATATTTATTATATGTATGGACAAATAAACAACAAAGCCTTTCTTAGGTCTGCCACAGTTTTAGTAGCAATGTCACAAGTACTGCGTTTACCTGGACAACCTTCAGTGGTAAAGTAACACATAAATCTTACCAGAGCCTATGAGGCCCTGTGTGTGTGGCCCTGGCCTTGTCTTGCTTCTTCACTATGCTGCAGTTGCTGTCCCCTCCCTCCACTGCCCCCTCCCCCCGCTGTTCCCCCCCTCATGTGCCTAGGGACCTGGTACTCACCATTCTGTCTGAAATGTAACCCCAAACCATGGAAACTGGCTACTTCATTCATCCTTCAAGTCTCAAATGAAATGCTGCTTTCTCAGAGAACCCTTCCCTGGTCCCCAATGTAAATTAGAATGCTGGGCCCTCGATGGTGGCACACTGGATTAAAGTGCCTCACTATGAAGCTAGCCACAGCCACTGCAGCATGAGTCCCATCCCTGGCCAGGAAGCTGACCCACATGGCGCAGAGACCTCTCCTGTCTCACTCGTTGCTCCCCTCAGCAGTGTATTTCAGTGCATCTGTCTGTTCTGCTCCCTACTGTCTTTGGTAAAATCTCTCACGCCAGCAACTCTGGCCTGTACCCCAGTTCTTGTATGCATAAATAAATCTTTAAAAATATATAAATTAGAAAGCCAGGGGGCACAAGAGGGTTGTCTTAATACTATGAAGCTAGTCACAGCCACTGCAGCACCAGTTCAATCCTCAGCCACGGAGGTGACCCACATGGTGCAGGCAGACCTCTCCTGTTGCACCCACTGCTCCCCTCAGCAGTCAGTCTGCCTGTTCTGCTCCCCACTTTGTCTCTGCTAAATCTTCCCCCCTCCCTTTCCCCTCTCCCCCCTCTGGTCTACATTCCAGCTCTTATATGCATGAATAAATCTTAAAAAAAATAATTAGAAAGGCCCTGTTAATCTCCCTAGGTCCTCATTTGAGAACCTTTTCCTTCACAGCATAGCTCTGACTCCCCTACTAAGCTGCAGACTCCTTGAGGGCAGAGACTAAATGTATCTTATTGCTTTTATAAACCCAAGGCCTACTGCTAATGTCTAGCACACAGTATTTACTAAATACATATTTGCTGAACTAAATGAACAGTACATACTTATGGGGTTGGTATCACATGCTGGTCAGTCTGAAGGTAGGAACCTAGCTTGTCACCAGCTACCTCTCAGTGCCTTAAGCATAAGGGGCCCATGGAAGTTTGGTCGGCACAGTGCTCAGGAGTGGAGTCCAACCAGAGTGCCCAGATGGCAGCAGAAGCATAGGGCTGAGATGCTCTGAGTTGTCCCCCGCCACAGCCTGTCCACGGGCCCCTTTTCACACATACATAACACCTAGGTTCTCTAACCCAATGTAACAGACTCCTTTGGCCTGTGCCCTTGCCGCCTCTGCTTCTGACACCCCCATCACCCACAGACAGATGGGAAATCTCCACCAAAGACTAACACTTCCTTCCAGGCTCAGAGGATCACAGCAGGGTCCTGGAAGCGCTCCTAACAGAGCTCAGGAAAGGATTGATAGGGCTCTTAGCTACCCCTCCCCCCCAAAGCACACACCGACCTAAAATAGGAATGACCATCTGGATCCACTTATAGGGCTGGCTGGGGGGGGAGGGAAGGATGGCAGGGCTGGAACTGGCAGGCTGGGAAAGCATTGAGGGTAAGATGCCTGTTTGAAGGGAGAATTGGAACAAGTTGTCTTGGTGGGAGTCGGGGCATCTCAGTTGACCCCATGCACTGATCCCCGGGCTAACATACATTCTGCCTCAGACCATCTCTCCCCTCATCCGGGTATTCAAGGCCCCCGTGGTCTGGCCCAAACCCCAGTCTTCTTTTCCAGCCTCATCTCTCACGGCCTCCCATAGGACCAGCTTGGCGTTAACCTCACGGAACTGCTGGCTCTTCAGAGAACGAGCCCGGCACGTCATACCTCATGTCTGCTCACACTGCTTCTTCAGCGGAATGCCCTTCCCCTTCTTGCCTACCCACTTTCAAGGTTTCCCACAAATGCTTCCTCTTTGCTCCCAGAGCACGGAGGCTGCTTTGGCCTACTGAATATTCATGTGAGCTTGCACTAGCATTAGCTGTTTACATGTATGAGGCCCCCAAGAGACTGTGAACTCCTTGAGAAGGAGACTGGCTGATCTATAGGTCCTTGTAGCACTGGGCAGGCAGGAAGTGCCCTGGGAATACCAACGGAACTATCTGTGACTGGGGATGGTGCTCATATAGGCTCTGGAGAAGATCACCCAGTCAGCAATCCAGGGAAGCAGGGCTGAGCTTGGGGCCATCAGTGCACGGGCTGGAGGAGCTGCTGGGTGTGATGCTGTGTGGGGAGAGGTAGTGTCCTTTCTACTGCAGCCTTTCTGCTCTAGCTGCCTTCATTACCCTCTGTGACTCCTGGAGACTGGGGTTCTCCCCACTGAGCCCTAAACTGTCTTGCAGAATGGCTCCATATCTTTCCAGAGTGGGGAGGGGACCAGCTGGGGCTTACAAAATGCACGAGTATCATTTGAGGACATTTTGACCCTTTAGACATCATTTTACAAATGACTTCCTTTTCCATTCCATTTCATAGACGTACAGGCTTACCTCAGACTACAGAATGCACAACGAAGACCAGAATTTACAGCCCCTACTCCCAGGTGGGCAGCAAAGCACAATGGTTAAAAATGTGAACTTAGGATTCAACCAGAGAACTCGGCATTTGAGCCTCAGCTCTGTCAGAGACTGCCACACCTTAGGCAAATAACTGAAGCTACTTGATGTTTCATGGTGGCAAACAATTCACATCTTGTAAGATTCTTACAAGTTCGGACTAAAGCTGAACAGATCCTGGCCAAAAGACAGACACTGTGTTAACTATCACCATAGCCTAAAGCATGCACCACTAGTGCAGGACTCAACTACTTTAGAAGCACTTCAGAATCATAGTTGGGTAGGTGTGATCTCACTGACTGGAAGCCTCCTTATAAAGCAGTGAAGTAATGAGAGTGGGTATAATGACATCCATTTCAGCAACAAGAAAGATAGACCAGAGAGGTTCAGGAATTTTCCTGAGACCTAAGCACCTGTTAGATTATGAACCTTGATCTTGGGCTGTCTGCTGGTGACCCTTTTGGGGGCTATTAGAGAGTAATGAAGCTGAGAGCAGCCTGAGGTTCTGTAAACCACCAAATAAGCACAGTTTGGCCTCCCTAAGACCAGGACCTAGTTTATATGTATATAAAAAGAAATGGGTCAGGAGCAGGAGGCAGAACGTGGCTGAACCATTGATTGCCTCCCCCCTGCCATCACATTCATCAGAATGCCTCCCTGCTGGGCAGAGCCAGGCACATGGCAGGGCACTTGATGGCAGACCAGACAGGGAAGACTCATGGTTCCCAGTGAGCTCCAATGGTCAGGGGCCATGCACAATCCCTGGATTTTCTAGGCAATATCTTCTAGATAATATGGAGGCTCTGGGAAAGCAGAGACTAGTCTGTGTCCATTTTCATTAGGTCAGTGCCAGGCACAGAGAAGAGCTCAAAAAGTATGATGACACTAACACAAAGATTTCTAAAGAATCGCACCAGTAATCTGGTTAGGGATTCAGTCCTGGTTTCCCTTTAATTCACTAGGGCCCTCAGGTAGCCCACTCCTAGGGTACTGGGATCAGGAACTCACTGTCCCTATTTAAACAATGGAGATAGGGCTAAGTTAGTGGTGTTCAG